CTGTCCCTGTCCCCCCTCCCAAGTCCCCTCCCCCGTGGCCGCTCTCCCTTTCTCGGCTCCCATTGAATTTTTCATTTCCATTTTGATTTCCGTTCCTTTTGATCCCATTTTGGATTATTTTGATTTCTTTCGGATCCAATCCCCGTTTATTTACTCAAAGTCCCTCCCTGGCCGAGCATTTCCTGTCCCTTTGGGGACACGGTGCCACCCTCAGTGTCACCCCCGGTGTCACCCTCAGTGCCACCCTCAGTGCCACCCCTCAGTGTCACCCTCACTGTCACCCCCTTTTTGGGGACACCGCTCTTTATGGGGTCACCCCAAATGCCACCAGGTTTGGGGACACAGCTGGTGGCCCTCGGGAGGGGACAGGGACGGAAGTGGCGCGTCCGGCCGGATGTCCCCAAGGCCACCAGGGACCGGACAGGCACAAAGGGCCGGAAGGAAGGGGACAGGGGACGGGCGGATGTCCCCGCTCCTTCTGTGGGGCCACCCCAAAGCTGCGGGGGCGGCACCCAAGTTTGGGGTTTTGGGGTTTTTGGGGGGTTTTGGGGTTTGGGGGTTTTGGTTTTTGGGATTTGGGATTTGAGGTTTTTGGTTTGTGGGGTTTTGGTTTTTGGGATTTGGGATTTTTTGGTTTTTGAGGTTTGGGGTTTTGGGGGTTGGGATTTGGGGGTTTGAGGTTTTTGGGGTTTGGGATTTGGGGGTTTGGGGTTTTTGGGGTTTGGGTTTTGGGGGTTTGGGGTTTTTGGGGTTTGGGATTTGGGGGTTTGGGGTTTTTGGGGTTTGGGATTTGGAGTTTTTGGGTTTTGGAGTTATTGGTTTTTGGGGTTTTTGGTTTTTGAGGTTTGGGGTTTGGGGTTTGGGATTTGGGGGTTTTGGGGGTTTGGGTTTTGGGGGTTTGGGTTTTGGGGCTTTGGGGTTTTTGGGGTTTGGGTTTTGGGGGTTTGGGATTTTTGGGGTTTGGGGGTTTTTGGGGTTTGGGTTTTGGAGTTTTTGGGTTTTGGAGTTACTGGTTTTTGGGGTTTTTGGTTTTTGAGGTTTGGGGTTTTGGGGTTTTTGGTTTGTGGGGGTTTGGGTTTTTTGGGTTTGGGGTTTTTGTTATTTGAGGTTTGGGGTTTTGGGGTTTGGGATTTGGGGTTTTTGGTTTGTGGTGTTTCTGGGTTTTTGAGCTTTGGGGTTTTTGGGGTTTGAGGTTTTGGGGTTTGTGGGAATGTCCCTGGAGGATTTGGGGGACTTCAGGTGCGACAACAACCCCTGGTTTCCATGGATTTTCCATGGGATTTCTCCTGGATTTCTTGGGGAATTTTGGGGGATTTCTCGCAGAATTCTTGGGGATTTTCAGGGAATTTTCAGGGATTTCTCAACAACTTCCATCGATTTCTCCGGGAATTTCCACGCAATTCCCAGGGAATTTTCTCAGGCCATTTCTCGCCGGCTTCTCCTTTATCTCGGCCCCAAAAAAATTCCCAAGTCCCGCCCCCTTTTCCAGGTGAAGAACGTGTCGGGCGGGACGAGCGTTCCGGACGAGGCCGCCACCGTCGCGTACTCGGAGAAGGGCGCGACCCCCCCCTACAGCCCCCCCTCGTACAGCGACCCCCCCCAAATCGGCCCCGGGGCCCCCCCGACCCCCGGCAGCCGGAAAAGGTGGGAAAAGGGGCGGGAGAGGGAGGGAAATGTGGGAAAAGGGGTGGAAAAGGAGGGAAAGGGTGGGAAATGTGGGGAGGGGTTGGGAGAGGGGTGGGGAAAGGATTTGGGGGGTTGGGAAAGGGCGGGAGAAGCTGGGAAAGGAAATCCCCATGTGCACCCCCACGCCCCGTGCCAAAGGTGTGTTCCCATATCCCATACCCCATATCCCACATCCCATATCCCATATTCCATATCCGGTATCCCACACCCCATATCCCACATCCCATATCCCACACCCCATACCCCATATCCCATATCCCACATCCCGTATCCCATATCCCATATCCCATATCCCATATCCCATATCCCATATCCCACATCCCATATCCCATATCCCATATCCCATATCCCATATCCCATATCCCATATCCCATATCCCATATCCCATATCCCATATCCCATATCCCATATCCCATATCCCATATCCCATATCCCATATCCCATATCCCATATCCCATATCCCATATCCCATATCCCATATCCCATATCCCATATCCCATATCCCATATCCCATATCCCATATCCCATACCCCATATCCCATATCCCATATCCCATATCCCATATCCCATATCCCATATCCCATATCCCATATCCCATATCCCATATCCCATATCCCATATCCCATATCCCATATCCCATATCCCATATCCCATATCCCATATCCCATATCCCATATCCCATATCCCATATCCCATATCCCATATCCCATATCCCATATCCCATATCCCATATCCCATATCCCATATCCCATATCCCATATCCCATATCCCATATCCCATATCCCATATCCCATATCCCATATCCCATATCCCATATCCCATATCCCATATCCCATATCCCATATCCCATATCCCATATCCCATATCCCATATCCCATATCCCATATCCCATATCCCATATCCCATATCCCATATCCCATATCCCATATCCCATATCCCATATCCCATATCCCATATCCCATATCCCATATCCCATATCCCATATCCCACATCCCATACCCCACATCCCACATCCCATATCCCATATCCCACACCCCACATCCCATATCCCACATCCCTGTATCCCATATCCCAAATCCCAAACCCCACACCCCATATCCCACACCCCATATCCAATGACCCCATGTTCCCTCAGCGACCCAGACCCCGCCACCCCCTCGGATGACAAGAGCCGTTCCCAGCCCCTTTCCAAGCCCCCCGCCCGCCGGGGCCGCCGCCGGGGCCGCCGCCCGCCCGAGCCGGACGAGTCCCAGTACTCCCAGTGCTCCCAGTACGAGACCGACTGCACCACGGCCGCGGATTCCGGCGATGAGCGCGACCGCGAGCGCTGGCACAGGTGACACCAGGGACAGTCCGGGCCTGGATCGGGAATGGGGTGGAAAGCGGGAGCAGGGAGGGCATTGTCCCCTGTGGTCATTGTCCTCCTGTGGTCATTGTCCCCTGTGGCCCTTGTCCCCTATGGTCATTGTCCTCCTGTGGTCATTGTCCTCCTGTGGTCATTGTCCCCTGTGGTCATT